TACTCACAATTCAAGATGAGAAAGGCAGCTTTAGTTCTTGGAAACAGTGAACTGCAGAAATTTTCAGGAGTTATACTCAACTACTGAAATTTTCTTCCGATTTAGGATCTGTTTTCTCAGTGTAATCATCTGTAGTCTTATTAATTGATTCTATGTTTTTTTATTCCTTTAGAATCAGTTTGGATTTTAAGCAGATACTCCCAGTTCAGAAATTCCGTTTCGTAAGGCAGAGGAGGCACGTATTAGCCAGATGACAGAGGGCCAGAAGGGAGATTATTCTGAATGCAAACTTGAGTGATCTTGCTCTACAGTAATGTGTTTGCAACTCATGTGTTATGTTCAATTTCTCAACAGCTTATATGGTGCGTAAGATATTTATTTTATCACATGTTTTTTTTTTTTTTCTTGTAATGATAATCAAACCTTTAAAAGCATTGTTGTGGTACTGACTTATTTCTTATATTTCTTCTTGATGTGTTTGTGTGGAGAATCCTACTTTCTTTATATAATAAAATTAAGATAAAAAATAAAAGGAAGGGAAGTACATACTGTAAAGTAGTTTTTTTTATAAGTATTTTTCATTTTCTTTTCTTTTCTTTTTCTTGCATATAGGAAATAGGGAGCATGATAATATGCGATTCAGTCCTGCGGCATAGCATAATATGTGACATTTCTCACATAGAGTGTGCCAATGTTCCTCTGTCTGCAAAACGCCCTGGGATCCATGCTGTACCTGATTTTGCGTGATATATTGTATGTAAACTTTAATATTCTTTTGTTATGTGGATTTCTTTTATTCACGGCATCTTATTTGTACCACTACTTTCTTATATATGTTCTTGACTACACGTCTAGAGGATTTGGCGTGAGAGAAGGATACTGCTGCCCTTGAATAAGAAGGGAACTCTCCATGCTTGGAAATGATAGAATAATACTACTTTGTAGATTCACCAGAAAAGCTATAGAGTCTTGGGTACCTTTCATGTCTAACAAAATGCCATGTTGCGTTGAAAGTTTGCTGTACTGATCACTGTGTGGAATAGCTCATTGATGCCACAGGTCAGTTGAAAGCATTTTATTATATCATCTTTATTGGGAGGTAAAAAACCATTGAGTCTGAAGTGATCTGTGGACATCATAAATAAAATGCTATTGTTTAGCAGTACCATGTCAGTAAGTCACAAATAATTAGGTGGACCACCTATTGATTAAATATTAGCGGTTTCAGAACTTTTCGCCCATTCATGCCTGGGAGCATACACTACCCACCATGGTTTTGCCTTATGCTTTTCTTCCCTCCCTCTTGCTATTCCCTTCCCCTACCCCTCCCCATCCCCCATCCCCTCTCCCCTCCCTTCTGCCTCCTAGATTATTGTTTATTAAATTAATGTTTTGAATTTAGTTTTCAGATTCACCTTATTTGTGGATGATGGTGCATCTTGCATGCAGGAGTGCAATCCTTCATCCAAGATTGCTGATGCTCGACACACGGCCGTTGACCGACTCTACTTCTCCTATGCGTTCAGGTGTATATTTTTGTTGAATGGATGAGAGAGTGAAGAGTATCAAGTAAAAGCATGTGTCACTGATAATTTTCTCTTTATTATTGTTGCATGATTTCTGATATGATTTACCGTATTGTATTCACGAAACCCCATACCTTGTGGATTTACCAAGATTCCTTCCCCTTTTCAAGATCCGTCACATTTGCCTGAGAGTAGTATAATGTTTCCTTGATATAAGTTATATCCCATTTCAAAACGCATAATAGCTTATTCTCAAGAACGGATTTATTTTCTCTCACAGTATTGCCGTGTTGGCGCCTGCGTCACTGTAGCTCGAGGAGGCTTTTGAAGTTCCGCGCTTCCCACGTGCAGAGAAATCATCGAAATCTTTCCACGTGCAGCGCGTTATGATTTCTGTGCAGGTTGCCTTTTCTCGGGAGCGTTGGGCCTGCTCCTCAATCTCACATTGATGAGGGTAAGAAAATCTGATAGATATATAGATAAATTAATGGGCGAAGACCAAAAGGTAGATAGATTGAAATATATTTTGTTAAATAGGTAAATAGATGGATAAATAGGCAGATGGATGGGTAGATACATAGATAGATAGATTAATAGATAGGGAGATGATTTCAAGTATGGATGGATAAATTGATGGATAGATGAATTGACTGATAATTTGAGAGATTAATAGATGTATATATTGATATATACATCTATATTGATATATAGAAAAGAGAATATGTACATGTTCACTAGAAAAAGAGCCAATGGATTTTTCCTTCTTCTATTTCTTCTTATTTTCTTTCTTTTCCTTTTTTAATTTTTTTTCTTTTAGTTTTTAGTTTTCCCTTTCTTCCTCTAAATGAAAAGGGAAACCTTACATGGTTATATTATTCACCCATCTTTGCAGAAAGTGGTGCATGTCACACACTGCTGACTTTTAGTGCCATCCCTTTATGCTGCTGCTTATGTGGGGCTATGGAGTTCTTTGGTTGATAGACTTCTTAGGACAGTAGAGTTCTTAGGTCTATTTGGTTCTACATCTGTAAGAACTTTTACCAAAGTCACCACAGTAAGAGTCGACAAATGGGCCTGTATAGCAGACCATTCCAGGTCAAAATGAAGATAAAAGGTAGAAATTATGGGCTTCCTCACTCACACACTTACAGTCTCACAGTCAGTCTGACGAAGACAGTCAGGAAGAGTCCAGAGTGTCCCAGCTCTTCCTGGGCTTCAGTCTGCACTGTCCCCGGAAAGTCCTGTGCCCTACTGCCCTACAAGCCTTTTGTAATTTCACTGTCAGTTATGGAACTAAAGCTTCAAGAATATTATATGTATAATCACCCAACTATACCAAACACTTTTGTAAACCTGAGTTTAAAGAGATTTATAAGTCAGAGAGATAAAGATTGACATGTCAGAGATTTTTAAAAGTGATACTGTGTGTGAGGAAAGTAAGAAGTTTATGTATGCCAACCACTTTAATATTTCTTAACAGGTTAAGTGATATGCTCACTTCTCCGTCGTCGATTCAGTCGGACGACCACTTACTTCTGCGCTGGCTCCAGCAACATTCCTTGATATGACTACTAGCACGGTCAATACCCTAGTGTGCATCAACCTGATACCTGGTGTGTTTGTGCCGGTCCCAGTCCCAAAGGACGAAGACGAAACGGAAGAGGCTGTGGACCTGTTGCGGGAGGGCGTTGGAAGCGTGGTGAGGCAGTCATGTTCGAGGGGCTCTTTTTAGATACTTTTGTTATACAATGGTTTTTATTTAGAATAAAAAAAAAAAAAGTGCTAATTTATTTTTTAGAGTTTTCTCTTATATAGTCATATTTTACTGACTTAGATATAATATCAATATGACATTTTCATATTATAGACATTGAAAATGTGGTAATTTAAAGCCATTCACACCAAATTTTACATTTGGTGTGAATGCAGGAATATGGGAATAGGCTTGAGTTTGTCTGTGATTATATCTTGAATGGCTTAAGGGCCTAAAGTTTTGGATGAAATTTAGGAGCTGGTGTATAAAACATGACAGTATTCATGGCGGTAATTTTCATTAACTTTGCAACAAACCATACGCATGCATGTTAAGACTTTCCTTCAGGTGTGAGATAGAAGACTACCTCGTATAAAGAACACTTTGTTATGCGTCCCTCAACCCTCTAAAATTAGAGGCCAAACTTGTACAAATGTATTCCCTTTTTATTCACATTTATTGATCTTTTACACACAGTACAGTACAGTACATATAATGCAAATTATAGAGGCCACTTGACAATCCCTAATGTCTGTAATGGCATTTGTGAAACATCAAGATTGTTCATAATTTTTCATGCTTAAGGAGTGAGTGACTATTAATTTGCAAGTGAATACATGTGCATGTATATACAGTATTTAGCACCAATAAGATAATGAGATTTTTACATCAGTTAGTTACAGAGCTCCATCTTTGGGATTTTTACAGCTAAGAAGGAATAGGTAAGAATCAGTAAAAAAAAAAAAAAAAAAAAAAAAAAAGTATAGAAAAGTTAGACAGCAAGCAACTTGGAAACCCACCATGACAATAAAAAAAAACTCAATACAAATAAAAGAAAGAGTAAAGGAGGAGAAATAAGGCAAACTGTAGTACACATTCCTGCATTGCTGGCCATCCAGGAAAGTCCCTCGACTCAGTCTAGTTGGAATAAGACATACAAACTATGGCTGAATGTTCCTTTGTGAATCTGAACTGGCTGGCCCGAGTGAAGTCCTCCTTTGGTGAAGGCGGAGCTGACAGCCGACAGCGGTTTTTTCTCGCCTTCGGAGTTTACATTCACCATGCCCGAAGATTTGTAGGGTATGATGGTTAACCTTTTGACGACATAGTATGGTATGCTTATATAATAACCTCGGTTTATATTTCATTGTTTGCAAAGGAAGGAAAAAGTATATCCCACCCAGACGTGAAAAAAATTAAATGTCACCGAAAGCAGCCAATTAAGATAACAAGGAAACATGTTTTATAAATAATCTATTTGATCAAAATCTAATTATTGCACAAATACATCTTCTATGGAGAAAAGCAGCAAAAAAAACATTAGCATCCAGCATCCATGTAATATTTGCCACGAAACAAGCGAGCGCCGTCTTGCGCAATCTCTCTTTCCATTTGGTGTTTCGATTCCTATTACATGTTTTTCTAGACTGCGAAAGCGAACTCGCGTCACGTGGCAGCCGATAAACCTTGCAAAGGCCTCGTCCCTCGTAACCTTGCAAAGGCGTAGGAAAAGTAAGTAAACCGCGCAGAAGCTTTCGTTTTCTCGTTTCGGTAAAATAGTTTTTCGTAGACTTAGGCTGCCCGCACACGAGCAACTTTTTATTGTGAGTTGTCACAACAAAAAATTGTCGCAATTAAAAAATTGTCGCAACGAAAAGTTGTCGGCAAGGTACATCCGCACACGAGCCACGCGATGGCGACAACTATTGCTTACTCTCATCATGGATGCCGTGGAGGTAGCAGTAACCTGTGCACTCCTGCTCAGGAGACGAAAAAAGAAGCCAAGAAATCACTGGGTACACCCCATAGTCAGTCAGCGATTACTACGTGGAGCATTCCACACATTGTTTGAGGACCTAAAAGGGCACCCTGATAAATTTTTTAATTACTTTAGGATGTCACAGGAAACCTTTGGTCATCTAATCACATTCACTGGGCCCCTTATAGCACACCAGGACACCAACATGAGGAAGTGTGTGCCAGTAGAGGAAAGGCTGGCTGTAACATTAAGGTAAGGATAAATAAGGAAAATGTTTATTCGTATTACATGTAATTTATTGACATAATTAATGATTCTTCTTGAAATAGCACTACAGGGAAATGAAGAAAATATGTTCCATTTTCAGAAAAGAAAAATACATCACTATTTCTATACTACACATCGCTGTAGATATGATTGAATTGCTTTCAGATGTAACCAATACTTTGTGAATAAAAGAAAATGTATTTCCTTATATATTGAGCATAATGAAAAAAAAACATTAACTTCAACAAAATCAATGAAAGATTCAACAATAGAAATCTGAAATTTTTTTTTTTTTTTATATTTAGATAAACTAATGATATTAGTTATCAGTGAACACCAGAATGAATTGGAATACATGAACGAGAAAATACATAATATTTAATCCATTACACACTGAGCACTAATCATGTGTGAAAATTATAATGGTCTTATTATGACAGTTGTAATAGGTCAGTGTCACCTGAGTTCAAAGAATATTCTGATGCTGGTGACGAAGCTGTGGTGGTGATATTTGATGCCGACTGTTGAAATTCGCGATTTTCTTGTGAATGATGTAGCTGAGGTTGATAAGGTTGGTTGTGAAGGTATCCAGGAGTATGTACAAATTCTTGAGTTGAGTGGTGACCTTCACGTATCTGGTGCTGATGCATGTGATGCATACCACTTGTAGGCAGATATCTTTGGGTGTTCAGAGACATACCTGGTACAGCAACGTACGGTTGACAAGTGCTTGTAGAGGGCGTATTGCCATGATAAGCAGTAGATGGAATCTGTGTCGTCATCATCTGTACTCTTCTCATCACTTTCATTATTTCTATCTGTGCTTCAAATCTTTGCTCATCATTGAACTTTTTAAACTTCGGAATTAGTGACATTACAAAGGCTGTATCCTCATTACAATTTTCTTTAGTCTTTCCTCTTAATATTTCAAGTAGTTCTTCTTCATATCTGTTGTTGGAAGCTCCTTGGATTTTTCTTGGTTTATGTGGTCTTTGTGCGTTATTCACGTTTGCAGAATTACTTGGTGTGTCGCCTTGTTCACGTTCTTCCTCCTTATCATTACCCTCCGGTGCTGAGTAGTTACCTGTGGTTTCTCGCTCGGTAAAAGTTGGTGCAAGGAATAGGAGCTGATCAAAGTAAACATACTTCCTTTTCTTAGCGGCACCATCTCCTGACCTGCCTTTTTGATCCTTTAACGCCCTCCTGAAGCATTCACGGAGATTTTTCCATCTTCGCTGTAGCTGGTTTCCTGAAATTTATGAAATTAATATTTTTTTTTTTTTTTGCAGATACCTAGCAACGGGGAACAGCTTCGTTTCGCTTCACTTTGAGTACCGGCTTGGTGAATCAACAATTCGTCAAATTTTCTACGAAACATGTGAAGCACTCTGGAAAAGCCTGCAGAACATCTACATGCCTGAGAAAAGTGGAAGTGACTGGCTCCAAGTCGCAAAGGATTTCTATGCTAACACACAATTCCCAAACTGCATTGGTGCTCTTGATGGGAAACACGTCCGCATCAAGAATCCAGATAATTGTGGTTCTAGTTTCTATAATTACAAGCAGTTTTTCTCAATTGTACTCATGGCGTTAGTTGACAGTGGGTGTTCATTTACAGTTATTGATGTTGGTGCTGCTGGAAAATCCAGTGATTCAAATGTGTTTAAAAAATCTGATTTCTGTAAAAAATTAGATTCTGGGGAACTGAAGCTTCCAAACCCATGCCCACTACCAAATGACAACAGTAGAATTTGCATGCCATACGTTATTGTCAGTGATGAGGCATTTGCTTTGACTGAGAATGTTCTACGGCCATATCCAAACAAAAATCTGACAGGTCAACAACGTGTTTTCAACTATCGTTTGTCACGAGCAAGGTGTTCAGTTGAATGCACGTTTGGTATCATGGCAAACACATGGAGAATTTTCCGTAGACCCCTGGATGTTAAACCTGAGTTTTGTGATGTCATAGTTAAGGCATGCTGCATTTTACACAACTACGTAAAAAAACATGAGGGTGTCAACTTTGAAGAAACATTGTATGAATGTCCAATGAATGACATTGATCGTGTTGGCACCAGATGTAACATGAGAGGAAAAACGGTACGAGATCACTTTGCATCATACTTTACTAGTCCCCAAGGAGCAGTTTCATGGCAGTATAACAAAATATAAAAGGTCACCGCTATAAAAGTGAACCACCTGATAGATATTTTCCTTTCAAGTACAATATGTTTCTTACCTTTTTCTTTTTTATCCTCAGGGGAGAGAATATTCCAATCGCTCACCACAGCCTCACACACCTCACGCCACAACTTCTCTTTTATATTCTTATCGCTGTATTCCTTCAGCTGGAAATCATAAAGAGGTGGTCTCTTCTCTACCTCTGTTATGAGTGTTTCGCAGTCAAATACATCTTTTATTACAGACATGATAGCTACCACTTCCTCTCACCACTGAAATCTGAAGGGGCAAGGCAGCAGCAGGCTGGGTGGTGGCGACAACGGAAAGTTGCTCGTGTGCGGGCTCACATTTAAAATAACGTTTTCTATCGCCGGCCACAGTTGCCAACAATAGTTGTGTTGTCCGAGAAATTGACCCGAGCGCAACTGCCTCTCAATTTTTTGTTGTCGCCTCAGGAAAAGTTGTCCATGTGCGGGCTACCATAGCGATGTGTGTGTTCTATATTTGACAATTTTTTGGTTGTGACAACTCACAATAAAAAGTTGCTCGTGTGCGGGCAGCCTAAGGCTGCCCGCACACGAGCGGGCAGCCTATGGAAAATTCTCCATGTGTTTGCCATGATACCAAACGTGCATTCAACTGAACGCCTTGCTCGTGACAAACGATAGTTGAAAACACGTTGTTGACCTGTCAGATTTTTGTTTGGATATGGCCGTAGAACATTCTCAGTCAAAGCAAATGCCTCATCACTGACAATAACGTATGGCATGCAAATTCTACTGTTGTCATTTGGTAGTGGGCATGGGTTTGGAAGCTTAAGTTCCCCAGAATCTAATTTTTTATAGAAATCAGATTTTTTAAACACATTTGAATCACTGGATTTTCCAGCAGCTCCAACATCAATAGCTGTAAATGAACACCCACTGTCAACTAACGCCATGAGTACAATTGAGAAAAACTGCTTGTAATTATAGAAACTAGAACCACAATTATCTGGATTCTTGATGCGGACGTGTTTCCCATCAAGAGCACCAATGCAGTTTGGGAATTGTGTGTTAGCATAGAAATCCTTTGCGACTTGGAGCCAGTCACTTCCACTTTTCTCAGGCATGTAGATGTTCTACAGGCTTTTCCAGAGTGATTCACATGTTTCATAGACAATTTGACGAATTGTTGATTCACCAAGCCGGTACTCAAAGTGAAGCGAAACGAAGCTGTTCCCTGTTGCTAGATATCTGCAAAAAAAAAATTATTAATTTCATAAATTTCAGGAAACCAGCTACAGCGAAGATGGAAAAATCTCCGTGAATGCTTCAGGAGGGCGTTAAAGGATCAAAAAGGCAGGTCAGGAGATGGTGCCGCTAAGAAAAGGAAGTATGTTTACTTTGATCAGCTCCTATTCCTTGCACCAACTTTTACCGAGCGAGAAACCACAGGTAACTACTCAGCACCGGAGGGTAATGATAAGGAGGAAGAACGTGAACAAGGCGACACACCAAGTAATTCTGCAAACGTGAATAACGCACAAAGACCACATAAACCAAGAAAAATCCAAGGAGCTTCCAACAACAGATATGAAGAAGAACTACTTGAAATATTAAGAGGAAAGACTAAAGAAAATTGTAATGAGGATACAGCCTTTGTAATGTCACTAATTCCGAAGTTTAAAAAGTTCAATGATGAGCAAAGATTTGAAGCACAGATAGAAATAATGAAAGTGATGAGAAGAGTACAGATGATGACGACACAGATTCCATCTACTGCTTATCATGGCAATACGCCCTCTACAAGCACTTGTCAACCGTACGTTGCTGTACCAGGTATGTCTCTGAACACCCAAAGATATCTGCCTACAAGTGGTATGCATCACATGCATCAGCACCAGATACGTGAAGGTCACCACTCAACTCAAGAATTTGTACATACTCCTGGATACCTTCACAACCAACCTTATCAACCTCAGCTACATCATTCACAAGAAAATCGCGAATTTCAACAGTCGGCATCAAATATCACCGCCACAGCTTCGTCACCAGCATCAGAATATTCTTTGAACTCAGGTGACACCGACCTATTAGAACTGTCATAATAAGACCATTATAATTTTCACACATGATTAGTGCTCAGTGTGTAATGGATTAAATATTATGTATTTTCTCGTTCATGTATTCCAATTCATTCTGGTGTTCACTGATAACTAATATCATTAGTTTATCTAAATATAAAAAGAATTTTTTTTCAGATTTCTATTGTTGAATCTTTCATTGATTTTGTTGAAGTTGATGTTTTTTTTATTATGCTCAATATATAAGGAAATACATTTTCTTTTATTCACAAAGTATTGGTTACATCTGAAAGCAATTCAATCATATCTACAGCGATGTGTAGTATAGAAATAGTGATGTATTTTTCTTTTCTGAAAATGGAACATATTTTCTTCATTTCCCTGTAGTGCTATTTCAAGAAGAATCATTAATTATGTCAATAAATTACATGTAATACGAATAAACATTTTCCTTATTTATCCTTACCTTAATGTTACAGCCAGCCTTTCCTCTACTGGCACACACTTCCTCATGTTGGTGTCCTGGTGTGCTATAAGGGGCCCAGTGAATGTGATTAGATGACCAAAGGTTTCCTGTGACATCCTAAAGTAATTAAAAAATTTATCAGGGTGCCCTTTTAGGTCCTCAAACAATGTGTGGAATGCTCCAGTTAATCG